CAAAACAAATGAATATAAATGAAACATATCGACCAAGTTTCAATGTGCACATTTGTCTTAAATTAAAACGATGATTTGTCGAAAAGAATTGATCAACAGCAGAAAAACATATCATATAAAAAGTAGTGAGCGCACATATTTGTGCCAATATGTATTTGAATTTACACCAAATTGAAGAACGTTCTGTTGCATCATCTCCATATATTGATGTTAAAATAGTTGTAGTAATAGATAAAAATTGATAAATTAAGTTGGAAATTGATTCAATAGTTATGTAGAAGGCGCATCGATTAGTTCGAAATACTTTCAATTGAGTAAAAACAAGAAGATTCAACGCATTACCAATAACTCCAAAACAAAATATAATACAGCCAATATAAATCGAGTATTGTATCGAAAATTTGATAATTCCATCAGAGACTGATGATGATGACATGATATTTGATTCAAAACAATATATTCTTTATTATTTGTGCCTTTCTTTTTTTTCAGACGACCTAAAACTTAATATAAAAAAAATATGAATCTATTTTTATCATTTATAGACGATCTCAACAGAAATTACTGTCACGATCGATAATAAAAGTCTTTAAGTACTAGTATGACAATGTTTTCTTTTTCGATACAAAATATATTGTATTAATTGAATGTCATATTAATTTTGAATTTAGAATATAAAATTAGAATTTAATGAAAAAATACTTGAATTTCTCATTAGAGCTATTTCTAACTTGTATGAAAGAAAAAAGAACGATTTTTTTTCTTTGAACTGCCTACACATAAATAATAAAAAGAGAATGTATGTTAATCTTTCGGGTCAAAAAGACATGTCATTAAAATATTTAATTAAACAATAATGCACTTATTGAACACGTATAATTCAGTTGTGCGATACACTGCCAGTAGTCTTTTAAGATATTAAATCTCATTTTCTTCTCAATAAAGGTTACGATTAATGAAGATGTTGATTTTGTGTCTTACAGTTAATATTTACTATGCTATATTTAGGTTATATATCTTCTCACTATAAAATAAATGAAACAATAAGAGAAAATTTTAAATTGGTGATTCATTTATTTCCATTCTTACACTCAAACTTTTGATATATTTTGATAGCATTCATGGAAACCATCGCGAAGGTGTGGGTGTTGGTCGAGCTATTATTAGCACGAACACTCATACTCATCCCATACAGTGGTACTTACTATAACATACTTTATCTTAATAATTACCTATTCGATACAAAACCAGTGAAATAGATTTAAGCTCGATTGCTGAATCTAACGAATCCATGAATCTATGACTTCGCTGTATGTTTGATTCAGTAATGAAGTTAAGTTAGATATCAATCAACTTTTTTCCTTCTTAATTGTGATTGTTCTTTTTGTGAAAGTTTAAGAAGAGGAATGTTCACTCAAAAGAGTCTTTTACTCGATACATTCATTCAGATTATCAAAAATTGAAATCTAGCTTGATTCGTGGTCGGAACTGAATTAGACATAAATATGTCTGTTGTTTAGCCGGTTCATTAGAAAAATCTTGGCTTTTAATATATATTCATTGTTGTGCAAAAATCAGTTATCTTTATAAAACTCGTCAAAATCAAATGTAATTTTGTTTGTTTTATAAATTCTCGGTAGTATTCATTGAATTACATCTCTGTAGTTGGCAATCGCTGTAAATAGAATCGTAAATTTGTTTTCGACTTTCGACGTCAACGTCAATGAAACGCATTGCCATATTCGGAACATCTCCATCAGACGGACATGTTTGACAGGCTTCTGTATGAACTGAATCATATCTGGAAATAGAAGTGGAACAGCGTTGACATGTATTCAGATGTATCATTTGAAAGTCAAAGCATTCAGCAGCTTTTGCATTAAACGCAGCGGCAAATCATAAGAAGTACACTTGAAATGATATCTCTTAGAAAAGAAAAATGATGTTATGCGGTCCACCAAGATCTCCAAACAGCAATCAAGGGTCATGACATTTATTTTAATATAAGGATTTTTTCCAAAGCTTGTTGGTTACATTTCTAGTAGGCGTGTATTTCAAATCAGGAAAAGAAAGTAGCAATACTCAGTTACTATTTATCTAAACCCTATGACAGTTCAAATTGATAGAAGCTTCAGAAAAGAAAACTGTTTTATATTCTATCAAAAATATTATAGTTCGTAAGATATCGAGTATACATCAAAAAGAAAACTCAATTATTAAATTCCATATATTTTCTAGTTGTCGTTTTTTTCAGAAATGGCATTAGATAATAATTTAACTTTAAAAGAGATTCAATTTTAGTTTATTCCTTTTGATATACAGTAGGTTATAAAAAAACTTGGCCACTGCATTTCCACTGTCTTACTTCCCCAACATAATATTTTTAAGAAAGTGATTACACTGTTAGAAAGCCTAGAAAACTTACTATATAGAACCGTATTTCAAGATTTTATTCTTTCATCATTTGAAGAAATAACAGCTACACATCTATCTTTCACAGAATTTACAAAATCAGTTAGGAAATCTGGATCGTCTTTTTTTCGATTTCCTCGGTCATAGATTATTCCAAGTCATGAATATTTGCGGATTTTATTTTTTCAATACGTCGTTTGATTACGTTCCAATAATTTTCAATAGCATTTAAATCCCATAAATTCGCCGACTACTCAAGTATTTTAGAAATCTTATTCTTGACGAATTATTTGGCAACATCATTCGTATGTTTGGGATCATTATCTCGATGAAGTCGCCACCGCCGTTTAAATTGCATTATGGTATCTGATGAAAGATGGTGTTTAAGAATATCAACAAAATAAATACTATTGAGATTTGTCCTAAACGTAGAATAACCAACAACTCCTTTGATACTGTTGTTTCTTCTAATGATGAAAGAATAAAATTTCGAAATACGGTTATATATACTAAATTTTCAAGGCTTTCTAACAGTGTAATCACTTTCTTAAAAATATTATGTTGGGGAAGTAAGATTGTAGGAAGTCGATGGTCAAGTTCTTTTGCAAACTACTGTATATATGAACATAAACAAGAGAACAGAAAGTGATGAAGCTAATCATATATGACGAGGACAATATGTAACAGTTATTGAAAATATAACTAACGAATAAGTTATCTAAAACAACCATAAGAAAATATATTTACATTGATATTTTTACCTCAAAGTGCAAGGAACTACTCATAAAAAAGACGAGTCAATAAGTTTAAAATCAATAATAGTAATCGCTATATACGAAAATCAATTTTAAGCCAAGTTTTTTCGAAATCTACTGTAAATGCCTTTGAATAAAAATAAAGAGAAAAATAATCTATGTACAAATGTTAAAAAATAAACAAAAAATCTAATTCTATTATTTAGACAAAAACTCAATTAGTATTTAGGGCGTGGGTGTGTATACTGAATGTGTCTCACACCCACACCGCACCCTGAAGAACACTTATCTTAGATGCATTCACATCTACTACTATCTATTAGTTTATTGCTGCTCAAAAAACGATACTACTCAGTATCTTATATCTGTTTTATTTTTTAAATTTAGGGTATCGGTGTGCATCTTCTCGTTTCAACGGACTCATATTCATACTCTCAAGGTGGAATAACTCTTTTCTTAAGTTTATTGTTTTCTCTTTGGGATAACGAGAAAAAAATATTTTATATATGAGAGTTACATATACTATCTACTCATCGCAATTACTATTAAATATTTGTTTAAACAAAAAAGTGAGCAAAAAAAATACAATCGCATACAAAGTTATGTAACTAAATAGTTGAATGATATGTGTCAAACTACGTACTAATAAGATATATTGTATCTACAAATAGCGGCGACGCCAGGATTCTTGACTACGGTGGGCTCAGGTCTAATAAATTTCAAACAGAGTGGGCTCAGGCCTAGTAAATTTCAAATAGGATAGGCTTAGACAGAATATCATTGGTTTTTGTAAGATCTGAAAAAAATTTCAGGTTGGACCGAGCCCACCCTTGGCGACGCCACTATCTGCAGACATAAATGATCTTTCAGGAAATAACTGACAAATATTTAAGGTTGTTTTATGTAATTGAACATTTTTATAAAGATTTTTTTGATAAAAATTGTTAAAAACATAAACGAATTAGAAGTTAAAAACTCTTACAAAGAATATTGAAACGTATATTACTATCAAAACTAATTCTATCAGCTGATTTTCATCGTTGTAAATGTAAGTGTAATATTTTCACGCCTTTTTTATACTGTAATACTATGACATCTATCCGAGTATTTTAACCCATAGATTAGATTTAAAAGAAAAATTAGAATATTACTTTAAGCAATATAATGTTGTCTACTCTTATACTTTTATAAGAAGATATTTATATATATAATCATCTCAATATAGTATAATAATTATCCGATAAAAAAAACTGAAAATTGAGACGACTCTATAAGTGGTTACAAAGCATGACCTTCGGTGTGGGTACTTTGATATGAATAATATTGATTAGATTGATAGATAAATCAACAAAAATCTCCCTTTATTTTATAATAATTATTTGAATAGTTTCTAGATTTTTCGAGATTAATATACAAAGATATGGTAATTTGAATTAGTATACAAATGATATCACTTTGATTAATTAGAAAATGAAAATTTCGAAGAAATTATTTCTATGAATCAATCTTAGGTCAAAATATCTAATTTCTTATCTGACAAAAGAAATCAAATAATCGATTGTTTTTATTTGTATTAATACCTGTTCAATATAATATGAACAAGATTTGTTCATGACCTAGATAGAATATAGTATATGTAGATTCAAGGTCATATGTAACAAAGTGTATGCTAAAACATCTGTCTTTCCCTGAATTTATCGTTTATTCTTTAATGCATTGTTACGTTTCGTTTTTCTTTCTTGTGATGTTTATATGGTTATTCTTTTTTCTGTTTACAGTTAATACACGTGTGCATTAACAATTGCAGCTGGTAAAAACGTGATCTATTTGAATATGGACAGAAATATAAATATATTGAAACGATTACATCCAAAGTAATTTTTCTCGATTACAAAAATTTTGAAAAGTAACAATTTTTTGTTATTTAGAAATAAAAACACAAGCCCATTAACAAAAAGGTATTAAAACTAAATAGAATTTTTATTATTAAAGAATTTATTGTTTCATTAACTTTTAAGACAATTTCGTAATGAAAATGAAAAACGTCGTCGTGATCTATCTACACAATTAATAACAAGTTTAAAAGATATACTTTTAATTGAAAATACTTCTGATACAAACGAAGATAATACGAAATTAGATAAAGCTTCAGTTTTACGTCAAACTGTGACGTTTTTACAGAAATATCAACAAAGTAAAACATAATCATAGATTAAAATATAAACTGAAGAATAATTTAGATATAAAAAATAAAACAAAATTGATTGTACCAAATTTACAAAACTCATCTTCATTATCATTAAATTCTATTCTTGAATTTTCTTGGAAACCACCTTGTGATATAATTTCTATTGATGAATGGTTACGATTAGCTATTGAAGTATAATTAAATAAATAAAATTAATTAAATATATATATTCCTTTTTTTATTTGTAGTCAATGCATTGCTTTTTTCTTGTTATTAAATTTGATTTAAATCTTCATAAAATAGTTTATGTATCAAAGAATATTCATTCATATTTTGGTTATTCACAAGATGAACTTATTAATCATTCATTATTTGACTTTATTCTTCCATCAAATCATGATCGATTACTTGCCTATCTTCTAAATAATCATCAAGGTTTTTCTTTTATTTCAAAATTTAATATTATTATTTTCATTTATATTAAAGTCTTACAAACATGTGATATATCATGGAAACGAGCAGTTGATGATGATTATGAACAATGTACATTGATTGGTGCATATCGAACAAGTAAAACAAGAAAAAGAAAAAGAAAATGATTTGTATAAACTATTTTTATTTTGTTTAGTTAATGAAAATGAACAATATTTTATGTCGATTGTTAAAATAAATACATTAGATCGAATGTTAAGGATGAATGCTGATTATCCATTAGAAGAATTTATGATTCATTTGAATACTCAAGGAAAATTTATTTATATTGATTCAAAGTTTGAAACAAACTGAAAAAGTATTTCATTTATATTTTTGTTTTAGAGCTCGAGAAATACTTGGTTATAGTCCATTTGAATTAATTGGGCGTACTTATTTTGATTTTGTCCACCCGGATGATCTCGCAGTTATTGTTCGAGCTTATAAACTATGTAAGATCATTGAAAGAATTAAACATAAAAATGTTTTCTTTTGTTTGATTTTGTAAGGGAAAGAAAATGGAAATGAGAAAAGTGAACCATATAGATTTCTAACAAAAGATGAGCAATGGATTTTACTTGAAACATCTTCACAAGCACATATTAATACATGGACAGGAAAAGTGGAAAGTTATATTTGTACAACATATATTATTCAATGGTACTAGATATTTCTTAATAAGAAATATCGATTTTTAAAACAACAGAATTTTTCATTAGTCATTCATTACAACAACAATTAGCGAAAAGACCGATTAATATTCCAGCAAATAATTCAAATAGTAAATATATATATTTATTAGAAAATCTTAGCCATATTTACCCTTTCTTGTCTAATAGTATTTATTGATACGACTTTCTCAAACTTTTTTCTCTTAAATAGATTGATTTATCGTAGATCATGTTTGCTCATTTTTCGATTAGATATAAGTCACTGAGCAGTTTTTTCATATGAGTTAAACGCTGTCGAATATCAAAACAAACATAGTATGCGAAGACTTTTACGTCATGCATTATTTAAGACGTATTTCTCAATAAATCGTCCCTAACTGTGTCTACATGAATGTGTTAGTGTACGAAAATTCAATTTGAGCAGTGAGATGTTTACTTGTACATTCTTTATGTATACGCGTATTGAAAATGATTTTATTTTAAACTCAGCTGATGTAGTACTACTTCCTTCAATGATAACAACAACAACCACGCTCTTACCCTCATCAATATCAAATAATCAAGAAAACAACTCGTCATCTTCGGGAAATGAAATAGCTGTATGTATACGTTTGCGAGAAAAATTTTTTAATAAGAGTTTTTATTTTTCTTAGTCATTTTTATCTAATCTTCGAAATGAAACTTATCGAAAAGCTATTTTAGAAAAATTAACTGAATGTCGAAGAATTAAACAAAATGAAATTAACATTCGTCAAGAAGAAATTCAAGCTATTGATGATATGCTTCGATTTGTCAATGAATATCATATCAAATATTCGTATAATCAACTGACTTCAGATGAAATGAAAAATCCAAATACAGAAGGTTTATAGAAATACAAACATATACATATATTAAATTTTCTTCCTATCATTGTTTAGACATTACTTTAAATATGCTTAATACAAATAGTGATATAACTGTATTTGATAATCCAATAGCAAATACTACTGATCAATATTGTCTTCAAATAGATATAAGAGATGATGTGCCAATGGATTTATTATCATCTTTATTTTCTTCATCTCCAACAAATTTTTTTTCAGATCTATCAACTATTAATGATCCAGTACAAGATATTGAATATCTAATATCAACAACAAATCCAACTAATGATTGAACATTTTCATAATAAGACTTCTTTTTCTTTTTCAACCAAAAAATATTCAAATTATTTTGTTCTATAATTATAAGCATTTAAAATATACTAAAAATATTATCAATAAATGAACCAATTAAAATCGTTCAACATGTAATCGGTACCTAAACGTAAAATGAGATCTATAGCAATACTAAAAGATGATTGATTATTGACATGAAGAAGATTGCCAATGGTCAATTGGTGAGTTCTAGAGAGGACTATTGAAGACAAAATAGGTTCGTCGTGTTCATATCATCAATAGAATTTTTGTTATTAATTTTATCTTTAGCTGAGATTTCTCTATAAGAAAAAGAAATAAAAGTGTTTATAAAAATATTTCTTCGAAAATTACCTGTCTGAGGGTATAGAATAAACGATTATGACATCCAGCCAGCCATCTGTATCAATGTATACTCTTGTTGAAAATGATGAATAAAGTCGATCGCTTCGTTCATGATAAAGAAGGATGTGGGTGTGGATATTACTGAGGATAGAAGAAAAGTAGAATACCCACACTCATCCTCAAGATGGATATCTCTATAACCATAACAAACATTGATTTTAGCGATAACTCCACAATTATCAAGACGATAAAAACCACCTTCCCACTTAACCAACTGTCTCGAGAAGATCTACTCTAAATTTCGACCAAAATCGTATATTTTATTTGTATTTCGTTTTAATCAATATCGTAGTATATAGGTACTATTTTTCGTTTTAATAATTCGTTTCATTTTCGTTATTAGTTCTTGCAACTGATGATGAGTCTATCGACTCGAAAGCTATTGTTTCTCAATATATTAATAATTATCGTAAAATCACACAAGTAACGCTCATCCGATGACTCGCTTAGCTCTTTCTCGTAGAAATGCATCCTCTTCACATTTACTAGGAAAGCAATTGAAAATCGTGCTCTCCTTTGTTGTTCATTACTCTTAACACATAGTCGCATCCTACCCAGTGGTAAACGCAGATCAAAACATCTTTGAGCAGTCGGCGCCAATGGCTTTTCGAACAAGCCTTTAACGAATATACGAAGTGTTAGTAATCGTATACGCAAGAAAGCCAACAATTTATAGTCGCCACATTCTGCACTACAAGCAGGGCAACCTTTGGATACCCATAAAAATGCATAAACCGAAAACTCGGTTTCTATCAGTCTACACAACTTCTCCCAATCCACACTTCCGCATCCCCCCCCCCCGCTTAGTAGTCTGAGAAAATCTGGCGTACATTCAAAGTCCTCACATTAAAATACCTCTAAAAATGTCTTTTTTGAAAAATCGATTTTCAATGTGTTTTTGACCCTGCGGACACACAAGAAATCAGACAATTTATGTTTACTGGACTCTTCTCTACGAGAAAGAGAATAACTATCCATTTTTGTCAACCTGACTTATAAGTTTTACTGTATTTGTTTTTACTGCAAAACGTTACATTGTTCTCTTTTTTGTTTTTGTTTTATTATTAATTTCAACTTGCTTATCTCAAAATTCAAAAGTTATGGAGAATTCCATAGAACGGTCTATTTAATTTCAAACTGAACTTAGAAAAAAAATGGAGTCGATTTTAAACTGAAATGAGGGGACTAGGGAACTAACAGACTGAGAGAACTAGGGTATGAGTAGGTATAGATGTGAGTGAACGGGGCTAAGGAACTTAGGAGAATTGAGAGTGTGGATGTATCGTGTTCATCCTGATATTGACATCTACATCCAGTCATTAAGTTATTTCAACTGTGATGAAATATTACGAGAATTTAGGACGAAGGGGGGGAGCAGCCGAGTGTGGGTGTTAGGAAGGCTGTTGGAAGGGCCCCTAGTCCCCTCTAATCCCCTTCGCCCACACCCATATCTATACCAATACCCATACCCACACCAATACATACACTCACATCTATACCTATACCCACACCCGCATTCCACAGTCTCCTACTTTTTCTAGAAAGTGAGACTCGTTTTTGTTTTCAAAATTCAGTTTGAAATAAAAAAGCCCAGGCTCGAGAATTTACTGTTATTGTTACACAACAGCTAAAGAACGTGAAAAGTAAACGTTCTCTAAACAATTATTCTTGGTCAGTTAAACAGAGTTCATAGAATTAAAAAGAACCACCCTTCCAGATCTTTGTTCAGAGAAGTTATCACTGAAAAATTAACATTAGTAATATGATGTCACAAAAGACATCAACTTTCATTTTGTTACATTATGGTTATAAGAATCTCTAGATTGATTGAGTAGTTTTAAAGACTTATTCGTATATTTTGTACATAAATGCGTTGGATACAAAATATCTATCCAGCTTTTTTCAGAGCATGCTGATTTTCAAAGGATTCAATTTACTTTCCGTTAGCGATGCGATGTAATGCAGTACGGATATTTCAACGAAAAAAGATTTTCATAACTATACGAGAAGTACAAAATCAAGTCCAACTAACATGGATTCCTCTTCATAATATTAAAAACGAAAGTTTTTGTTTTGAGACTTGGCAGAAGTTTTGTAAAATCGAGTTTCATGAGAAGAATCTGTGAAGCATAATCTTATTGGCAATTGTATCAAAGATATAGCTTAAATTATAGAGTCTATCATGTAGTTTTTAGATTTTTTACTCATATGGCTAGGAAGATATTCGGCGATTATTATATATTCCCTTTGATCTGATTGTGAAATTTTAAATTTTAATCCTATCTTCATCTTTTGATGATATTTAAATTAAAGTAAATGAATGATTTGAGAGAAAGTAAGAAAACTATACTGATCGAAATGAAACGATTCGACAAAGCATTATTTTGATTTGGTATATTATGTATCTGTAAAAAATAATTCATAAGAAAGAAGGAACATTTAGACAAAACAGGATTGTTGTTTATTGAGAGGGTTTTGATTAAATTCGAGCAAGTAATTAGAGTAGACATATCAAGATATAAATATGAGAAACGAAATTATTAGAATTCGTAAACAATTTCTATAACGAAAAACAACAATAAGCGTCTACATCAGTGAATGATGAGAGAATCAACAGCTAAGTGAAGCCTCTAGTATAATTCTTTATGCATCTTTTGGCAAATGTATTTTCGTGCAATGTTCCATAATCTTCTACATTCTCCAAGTTTGGATAAATCTTCTTATTGATTTTACTTAACACAAAAACCTATGAAAAGTGTTAAACATAATTATAATGACCATACAAAAATCAGTCGATAAAATATTCATTCATTGACATTTTAATTTTATTGAGAACATACCAGAATGATCTCAACCAGATTTTCTGATCGATATTTTTGCCAGAAAACAAACATAGCATTCGTGTAAGTAAACGTATATTTATCCTTCAAAGTCAAACCTGTTCTATGTCTGATCTGCTGATTTATATCGATTATGATGATTACGAATAACTTACAAAAATGTTCTTTTTTTTGAATGTATATATTCTTAAAATCGTAATCTAAATACGAAACATTTACTCTCGTTTATATTTTGATGGCCTTTTATTACAACATATAGATGAAATAGATACAACACACTATCTTCATTTTCTTTTACTAATATCTTTGTTCTTCTTCTCAGACTTTAAACATGTTGAATAAAATACGCAAAAGAAAGATACGTTTTTTCAACAGTACGTACTGACACAAAATACAATACACTTATGAACTAAATGTTTTTAATATCAGTCTTTGTTCAACGAATTAACAATCCAATAAAAACAATTCATCAACATCAATAATAGATCATTATCTTATTAAATTAAATCATCATGTAAGAAGACATTGCATTAATGATGATAACTGTCTTCTATCGATATATTCATCTATTGTATATTTAACTTCATCAACTAATTGTTGTATTTTCATTATTTTATAAATATATCTTGAAAATAAAATTGATGTTTTTCGAACTCCATATTGATCAAGACAATATTTATATGCTAAATCAATAAAGATATTTTGTGTTTTGAATATGTCTAATGAACTAATATCTGTTAATACACATTCAGATGATTGATTTAATGTGATTTGATTTGAAAAA